ACGGGTTCTGTGACGCGGCGCAGGCTGGGGGGACGCACACCCAACGCTCTGTGTGCTGCCAGCAGGACGTGGGCGGCTGTTTACGCTCAGGCGGCTTCACAGCCTCCCCCACGGGACTTGCCCATCACCACAATACTCATGGGACCATCTGGTTCTCCCCACCCAGCCCCTCTGCTGAAGCTAAGTTTTCAACAGAGGAAGCCAAACAAATCCTTCGCTGTTCGACAAAAACCTGTTCGTGCTGGAACTCGCCAGATGAAAATGGGGACACAGCCATCCCCACATTGTGGGGTGTTCCCAGGTCATGAAAACAACCCTTTTTTTTTTTTTTCCCCCCTAATATGTCCCTGCCACTATAGGTGATGATGCTCCTTGTCTGCAGGAGCATTTCTGCCCAAAAGCAAATTTGCAGCCAGGAATCCATGCCCGAGTCTCAGGACGTGGACATGGGCAGGTCTCATCAGGGTCTTTAGCTGGCTGCTGTGTTGGGGGTCAGTGGCTGTGGAGGAACAAAAGAGGCAGCAACTAGGCATGCCAGAGCAAGGCAGCCATGGCTGGGCTGGTCAGTGCTTAGCCAGAGGGGAAAAAAAAAAAAAAGAAGTGGAGAAAAGCCATTGAGCTCTGTAGAGGGGATTAGGATTTACTGTCATATCAGGTGAATTCAGGTCAATGAGAAGCTGAGACCAGATTTTATCTCAGCTGATACTAAAACATCCTCTTCACACAACTAAAAGCAGGGATGTTGTTACACATCCTATTTAACCTGGCTCACACAGCCGAGCTTGAATTGCTGCATAACTGCATAATTACTAATAGGATCTTTCTTCCTAGTTTTTTTTTAATCCAACCTTGTGAGGTTAAGAGTCTGTAAGATGATATTCTCCTTAAAAAAAATATTATTAAATCATAAAAAGGAAAAGGGAGCTGTGTGCCTGAAAAAGCAATTTTTATTCTCAGCCTTGGTGTGGCTGTTTTACAGTTATGGGCAAGGCCCTTAAAAATTTCCTCAGTTTACTGAGCTGTGAAACGACGATAGTACAACTGCAGCTCTGGGATCTGGGAGGGCTGATGCTTAAACTCTGCCTAGAGATTTTTATATGCAGGATGTGAAGAAGTTTAAAACATTACTGTTTCACCATCTTTTATATTTGCTGTGTACTTACTGCTCTGTGCTTGCGAATACAGCATTTAGTCCTCTGAGAGGTGATTTATAGCACTTGAAGATATGTATTTATAAGAAGTTCCTCCAAATAATGATGCTGCGTGCATTTCAGCAAATAAGCGAATACAAATTTCATGACTCTTCTAATTATCCTTTGCAAATAAAAAAAATTATGTTTCTGATAGGCTGCATCATTATGACAAGGAATACCCTGTTTCAGTATAATTTAAGATTTAACTATTGTTCTGACTCTTGCTGGTGAAAGCTCAAGCAAAACACATTTATCAAATGAACATGTAAAAATAATGTTGTTATATGTTACCAAACTTATTCTTAACAACTAGAGTTAAAAGTTGATTAAATCAAACTGCTAAAATCCACATACCATTGTTTCTTCTATTTTTTTTTTAATGCCCTTGAAATCATCTTTAAAATACCATTTTTCATAACAGAAAAATTCCAAATATATGTTTTGTCCCACTAGGGATATTTAGGGTGAAAATAGCAGTTAATTTGCATCTGATGGTGAGATGTTTATTTTCAGAATAAAATGTAAACGTTTTCTAAGATGTGTCATATCCACTTCACACATTTCATGAAACACTGTGGGCATCTGTTTATTTGTAATTTTTGCATAATTTGGCCATAGTTTCCTTGATATTTTCCCATGGTTGCTTTCCGAGGGAGGAAAAATACGTAATATACAGAGTGTTTAATGCAAAATGTCCTTTTAACAGAAGCTGAAATTCACTAAATTGGTCTTTAGGAGGCATCTACTTTATCTCTCTTATTTGTCCCTTCCTATTTCTGCTGGAGTTTGATTGCACTCCGGACTTCTTTCCCATTTTTTCCCTCCTGGCTTCTCTTGTTATGGCTGTGAGCTTCTCGTGTGTTTAAATGTTAGCAGCTGCCTGGAAGCCTCTTAACTGCACCTGGGAAAACCTGGTTATGTTTCCTTGGCAAAAACGTGGTGAGATAAACGTGGTTGCTTGGGAATAAACACCAGCTTATCTGTAGACATTTACTGGTACGTGGGGGTAAGGCAAGGGGCAGTAGCTCATGTGGAGATATCCCTGCTTCCCTAAAACCTCGTGATAATTTAAGGGAAAGCTGTGCCTTCACTAATCACCCACCTGTTCATTCTGTGCAGACACACTCTTGCAAGACGGTCACTGCACATTAGGCAGATATTGAGGTGAGGAGCTCTTTGACTTGCCACCAAGTCAACCCCTGAGTGTCCTAGTGAGATCAGCTTGGAATACCACAGACCATCAAGGGAATGGAATCACAGAGGCAGATGAACATGTGTTGGAGGTTCTGGGCTTTGTGGGAGATACCTTTTTTTGGTTGCACATGGATGGGTGCTGAAGCTAACCCAGGAAAGAGTTTTGAGGAAGATTATGTTTTTGTCTCCACCAACAGTGCTTCCCCAGCCTTTTCCTTTGAGAGCTGATATTTTTCATGGCACAGCTGCTCAGAAAAAGGATGAAACCTTCTTGCAGAAGCAGTACTTGGGACACCAGGCTGTGCTGGAGGCAGGTCTGCACTCACACCTCATGTCCCTGCACTGTCCTGCAGCCTGTCAAACCTCCAACACCCTCTGTCCCCTGCTGCTGTCACCCTGCATTTGGCAGAAAGCCCAGACCCAGAGATCTGCACTGTTCCTTTCTTATGCCCTCCAGCAGCTCTGTATCCACTCCAGCCTGCTCTCACCCTCACTTCTTGATGCCCTGGGCATTCATTTCTCATATCAGTGCACCTCTGTGCCATCTAATACTTTCTAAGCCACACTTAATTCATTTTCACAAAGAGTCATCTCACAAACCTCAGACCCAGCAGCAGAGAAATATCCAGCAGGCAAGAAAGTCTGTTTAACAAATAAGATGGACTGAATCAGAGACCTGCCCCATGTACACCACCAGTCAGTAACAACTGAGTGCTACCATAAATATCCACTTTCCTCCCTGTCTCAATCTAAGCTGAACCGACTTTTATTGTTTTAAGGAAAATTCTATTTTCCCCCTCATATCGAAGCCCTGAAATAGTGTGAATACAAGCTCTGACAGCAGATCCGCCAAACAAACAAGCTGAGAATAGGAAAAATTGTTCTGCAAAATCAGGTTCTCACAAGTTGTCTTCAAAAGTGGGCAGAAAAGGCAGCAAGGAGAGTTCTCTTCCCCTCATTAGCAGTCCCAGATTGGCTCGGTTAGTGTGCGGGAGGCTGGAAGTGGGATTGGATAAGGACCCAAATGTCTCCCTATTTATTCAGAGCTTATCAGAACACCCTGAACTTTCAGCCTTGCAAATACTGAGCTGGAAAAAGCAGAATGAGCTCTCTGGGGAGATTTAGTGTTCATTTTTACCTGTGGCTGGGCCAGAAATACTTCAAAGATAGATTTTCTTGTGACATTTGAAGTTTTCTCATTCAAGTGCCTGCCAGAGCTTGAGATGGATATTTATGGGGTCAGAGTTTCAGAAGATCTCAGCTTTCATAGAGTCACCAAAATAAATGACCTGCTTTTCAAAAAAGGCCTCATCACTGAAAAGACACCAAGCCTGGTGTCCCACAGGGTGAATTCCAAAGTCCCTTTGAAATCAGGATCCAATTGTGAGTGGTTTTCTTTTAAATATCTGACCTGAGATATTTTGAGCTAGAATTTTTAGGTGGTTTGTGAAGCAAAAATAGTTAGTAAACTCATAAAGGCTAAAACTAAGAACAAACCTAACTAACTACAGCAAGATACATCCTGATCCTCAAGTTCAAAGTAAAAGGAAGAAACAGAAAAGTGCCTATGACCTCAGAACACGAAGAGGAGAGGTCTATATAGGGAAAATTACCTACTGCCTTTGTCACATAAAAATAATGCAAACAGAATTGAGTCAAGGGCTGGGGTCTGGTCCCAAATCTGCATTTACCTCACATCAGACAGGGCTTCTGGGCCAGAATGTATGAGCTACAGGCCCTGATGATTCCCCTGCAATCCCATGCATGTACATTAAGACACACTGTCTTCCTCCTAAAGCAGTTACTCCAAGAGCTACTTTATTTTCCTTCCAGACAGACTGTACTATTGCGTGACTGGCTCTCACTACGGGCCATGCTGGATACTTTCCTGATTCTTGGAAATGTGGGAGGCTTTGCTGTCTTTGGCTTATGGAATTTGGCTTGCCTATTGTTCAAGGAAAATATTGTTCATCCAAACCTTTCCACCCAGTCTCACTCCCAATAACTAAGCCTTTGTATTTTGACCACAGGGAGATGTCAATAGTGATGCAAAAGGGATGTTGCCAGTAGCCTCAGCCTTTGATCCACATGCAGCACTTTAATTGAATTCCACAGACCTAAAAAGAAACCTCCATTGGCTACATCTGATCCAGGACATATGAGCAAACTGCTCTGACTGGGAAGTTTGCAGGCAGAAGGAACTGACTGCACAGATGATTTGCCAATTGGGACTTCGGGCTGAAGGAGAGGGAAACCTGTACTTTCTAAAAGCTTTGAATTCTGAGTCACTAGATCCACCTTTAACTTTTCACTTATTTGTCCTCTGAGTTTTGCCCTCTGGGCCTGCAGACTGGGAGCTGCCTCGCTCAGATCCAGCCTACAGTGACCAGCACTGGGCCCACAGCACATTCAGTACAATTCCACTGCTCTTGGGTCTCTGCCTTCTCAGTAGCATGAACCCCTCTTGAGTCAGATCCACCCAGGCATGACTATGCATGACATACAACACAAGAGGAGAAACATCAGAATATCCTGAAATCAGCTGGTCACCAGGAAAAGCTGTTCCAGCTGCTGTTTACTGCATTGGAAGAGCTGTTTGCCAGCGGCACTTACCTAACATCCCTTTGTTCGAACTGGACAAGCACATATCCTTCTCAGCACTGGGAAGAACAAATCCAACCACAAACACCTCCACCCCATCTGCCATCAGTGCCAAGCCTAAAACAAAGAAGAGGGTCCACTGGAAGCGTCCGTGGCCACACTCCTCAATGATGTTCTCGTACTGGTGGGCAAGTTGCTCCTCGTCCTCCATCCTCTCAGCCATAAGGTCGGCACGGTCTCTGTACTCATCATCCACGGCAGGAGCTCGCTTCTTCTGCTTCTCTTTAATGTCATCAGGGTGTGGGATCCCTTGGTACTCCCCCTCATAGACCTCATCATCCTCATCATGGCCTTCTGTAACATCACTCTGGGCATCTTCTTCTTGAGTGGGCTCATCCCCGCCACGGTAGTAGCCATCATTGGGAGCATCGTAGTTACCATCCTGGTACCTGTAGTCATCTGAGACTTGGTTTGTGTTTCTATATCCATCATCCATTCTGAATGGAGAATCCTAAATGCTGTAGATGACAGTGTGTAGAGACTCTAAAATATGTATAGATTTGTGCAATTTCTGGTGTTGGTTACTTGAACATATCTTTTCTCTGTTCCTTGCACGGATGGGATACACAGCTTCCCAGGCTCAGGAGGAGAATTACTATATAAAGGTTCTCTTTGACAGAGTCTCACACAGCTTTTGATAATGCTTCACTTTTCAGCTGTCATTTGTGACTTGCTGGCTTCTGTGTTTCGGGTGACAAGAGCTGCTGTCTGGGGAACAGCAAGGGAACAGCAAATTGCACAGCCAGAGAACTAGGAGGATTTGACAGGTTTTTCCTGATTCATTGTGCTGATGAAGGTCATGTCCTGAGAAAGAGGAAACAATAGCAGTGAGACAGCAGTAAGCTTGCAAGCACACATGCACCGAGTTTAATGCCCAACAATTTGAATACATGCTTTTCCATTGAAACAATATGGCAACAGAGGAATGGTTTTGCATCATCAAAACCCAAAGCCTCAGAAAAAAATTATCATAAAAGTGTACCAACTTCAGTGGGAACCTAAAGTAGAATGTAAAATACCGTGTGGTCCCAATTTCTGTCGTTCCTAGAAGTCCTGCCTCCCACATGTGGTCCTGGTTTCCACAGAGAGCAGAACAGCACTGGGCTGGGTTGCTGGAACAGACCTCTCAGGTTGCTAAATATGTGTCTATCCATCTACTCAGAGTACAGTCATCCCAGCTCCCTACAACAGCCTAACATCATAATGAGACAAAATATGATCTCGGTTTTCTTCTTCATCCAGATCCCAAAATTAATTTTATTTATTGGCTTCTTTTTTTCCCTAGTGTCTCTCCATCTGTAGGACAGATGTAGAACTAGCACGGAGTGTCTGCCAAGATAAAGTCACCAAAAGTCACATCAAGCTCTTTTCTTCCCATATCTAACCATCAAAAGGGGATGA